CCCTTCCCCCCACCTCCAATCCTGACCCCAACTGATGGGACATACTTGGTGAGCTCTGCAGGGCAGGCTTGCCCAGTGAAGGCAGCTTCAAGGGGCTGGGAGTGCCAGCATAGCCGCACACACACACACGCACGCACACGCACACTCACATGCATGCACACATGGTTAAGAGAACAAACCGTATCCCCCAAGCATCTGCCTGCTCAGGACCCGCCCGTCTGGGGACAGTGTCAGGTGAATACTGGCTGGACATGTGGGATTCAGAGGCTGAGCCTTGACATACCCTGGAATGTACCAGAACTAAGCCTAAGGCATCCTGTCTTTGCCCACCAACCCTCGTTGGGGGTTGTAAACTGAGGCTCGTCTGACTTGACACAGATCCTTGGTCCAGGGACCCGGAGATTCCATTCAGACCCTGGAGCCGGGCCTGGAGCCTTCCCCAGTGCATGTCTGTGTGCCAGGAGCAGACGGCCCTGTGGCTGGGCTCCTTGGGGCTCCAGAGGTTGGGGTGTCGTGGACACCCTACCCAGGTCCCATCAAATGAGCGAGGCCCTCCCTCTGGGCTTGTGGGGCAGCCTCTCGGGCCCACGGATGGGCATCAAACGAAACCTGAATGTCTGCGTCATAAGCCCTACCTCTGGAGCAGGAGGCAAGCCCCAGGATGCACCTGCCGCTCTGGCAAACGGCTCTCGGCATTGCCCTGGACTTTCCCACAGAAGAAGAAACGGCCAAGGAACAGCTTCTCCTCGCCAACTGCTCCCCCCTCTGCACCTAGGACCAGAGCAGGTCAGGGGCTGCTCCGGTGTGCACCCGGTGTCCCTACACTGCCCACCCCAGGAGCTTCCCGAAAAGGGACAAGAGGGAGTGAGATAAACACTGCCCCCCACACGGGACATTTAACAGCCCGGACACGTTCCCACCGCAGGGCGCCAGCAGGCAGGTGACCTCATGAGCATGGAGCCGACTGGTCGTGGCTGACAGAGCACCGCTGAGAACTGACCCCACCCCATGTGCGGGTGACTGGTGACTGGTCTGCCCCTGTCACCATCTCCACCGCCCTGATCTACAAGCCAGGTGACTTTCCCTGAACAGGGGACATTCCCTGGCCAGGACTTCGGTGGCAGAAAAGGAGGCCCTGGGCACCGGGTGGGACTAGCCGGCCAGACTCCGTGCTCGGTTTCTCGGGACTGGAAGATGCACGTGTTGGCCGGTCGCTGCCCCTCTGCGGGGCGGAGTCCGCTCCCTTCCTGGGGATGTGAACGTCCGAGGTGTTAGGAGACGCTTGTCTAGAGTAGAAACGCGTTACAGGTTAACTCCTCCTCCGTAACAGTGGCTACATGCTTCCTTTCTCACCTGGGACCTGAGGGCGGTGCGCCTGTCACCAGAAGTGACCTCGGACCCATCAGAAGCTCTGCCTGCGGGAGGGCGGCCAGGCCCGGGCACTGCACGGGGCTAAGGTCTGCAAAAACACTCCCACGGTGCAGCCTGGGCACCTCACTTGGACACCTTGGCCTGCAGGGCGCTGGGCAGGTAGAGGTACCTCCAGATGGCGTAGTAGTGAGTGCCAGCACCAAATGCCACAAAGAGATGCCAGATGGCATGGGCAAAGGGGATCCTGCCGTCGCTCTTGAAGAACACCGTGCCCAGGCAGTAGAAAGCCCCTCCAGTCACCAGCTCCCACAGGCCCTCGGTGTTGGGCTGTCGGCAAGGACAAGGGTGGGGCACAGGTCAGAGAGGGACCCGCAAGGTCGGGAGCTCCCAATAATAATAATTTTTAAATAATACTTTTCTCTGGCCCCGGTCAGTGTGGCTCAGCTGGTTGGAGAGTTGTCCTGTGCACCAAAAGGCTGCAGGTTCGACTCCTGGTCAGGGCACATACCCAGGTTTCAGGTTCGATTCCCAGTCAGGGCATGTATGGGAGCCAACCGGTCAATGTTTCTCTCTCACACTGATGTTTCTCTCCCTCTCTGTCTCTCTGTCTGTCTGTCTCTCTCTCTCCCCCCTCTCTAAAATCAATAAGCATGTCCTTGGGTGAGGATTGAAACATAATAATAATACTGTTCTCTGGCCTACAAGGTAATGGGCAGGCTGAGTTTACTGTGTCCATTTGACAGATGGGGCAACTGAAGCTCAGAGAGGAGAGGCCCTCAGGGTTAACCTGCCTATTCTATCGCCTCCTTAAGTGGGTCATGTGGACACGCTGGGCCTCAGTTTCCCCTTCTGCTAGAGGGGAGGGTTCTAACTGACCATCCTGTGTCAGTCTGGGTCCCCTGCAGGCAGACATGAGGCCCCAGACCGGGTGGGTGGACTTACCATTGAAAAAATGACCAGGGCAGGGAAAAAGCCCATGACCATGTAGCACAGCAGCTCCAAAAGCTTGTACCTGGCAGGGAGAGAAGCCACCTTGGGCTCAGGACAGCTCCCCACTCTGGGCTAGAGAAGACACCCTCACCGTGAGAGGGAGAGCACCCCAGGGCTCTGACCTCACCCAGCCACACCCAAGAGGCGCTGGCAGAGCTGAGTGACCGTGAGCAGGTCTCCTTCCCTCTCTGAGACTCGGTTTCCGTATCCATGAAACAACACTGGAGGACTGCAAATAGCAGGTATAGCAAGGGTGTGGGCACTGCCCACGCTCAGGCCCAGGGAAGACATGACTGTTCGATCCCAGCACCTTCACCCGCAGGGCCCACGCTCCGTGGATCTGAGTGGCTCCATCAGCTGACACTTGTTGCTGTCCCTGGAGGGTCCAGGAGTCTGTCACTCCTCCTGCTTCTGTAGCCCCGTTTATCCCCTCAATTATTCCATCGTGTCACTTGGCAGGATGGAAGGAAACGGAGCCTGGGGGGCTCGGAGCCACCCCTCCTCGTCTGCCCACACAGCTTAGAGCAGGGAGGCAACACGGGGCACCTTCAGTGCTCCAGGAACTTAGTGTCTTTTTAAAAAAATGCGTCCACTGACACTATGGGCTGTGGGCCTGGTGGCCATCCCTGGGCCTGGACACTGGGGCTCTGGGCAGAGCTGTGCCCTCATGCTCCCGGGGTCCTCCTGGGGTCTCCTCTCACCAGAGGCAGGGGTAGGAAGGAGGCCCTGCTGGAACCCTGAGGGCCGCCCCACCCACTGGAGCCCCCAGCCCTGGCTCACCGCTCGTGGAAGAAGAAGACATAGACCGTGCCCACAGAGGCCATGATCCAGACCAGCCAGCGCATGTGAGAGGCCCAGGGGCCCAGCTCCCGGAGGTTCAGCCTGGGGGAGAGCCGAGGGCACAGTCTGAGGGGGCCACCGGGACCTCGCCCTGCGCGGCGGGCCCATCCCGGGACCGGTGACCCCAGGGAAGATCTGTCGGCCGTGGCTGCAGAGGTGAGACATGGGCCCTCATGGGAAGACGTGTGGAGATGAAAAGAGAAATGGACACAACGAGCAGTTGTCACAGGATGAGCCAAACAGATGTCCCAGCGTGGAGGGGAAGGGCAGGTGAAACCAGCAGGAGTCTACACAGGCAGCCGGGCCCCGGCCCGCTGGCCCAGGGGGCTGGAGCAGCGGCCAGATGCGCCAAGGGGCAGGGGCGGCCCCAGTCAGGGCATACAAGAGTCAACCAATGATGCATAGATAAGTGGAACAACAAATCGATGTTTCTCTCTCTCTCCCTCTAAAAATAAACCCATAAATAAACACACAGGGAGCCTATTGGGAAGGCCACCGGCAGGATCTATCAGACATTGACGGGACCCTGCCAGTTCAGTTCCAGGCTCCAGCCAGGGACACGCGGTTTCGTAGCCACACAATCCCTGCTCTTCCTACCACCCTAGAGCCTTCCGGCCTGCTAATACAACACCCGCTCTTTAAGGCAAGATTTTATGCAAGAAGCTTCTATGTAAGACCAATCTGTCAAAGATAAAAATAAAAACAAACCGAAAAGGGGTTTTTTTTGTCTGATTAAGGCAGGGATGGGGGAGCCCAGATGCCCCCACCCCCTTTGTGGTCCCTGGGACCCTCCAGGGCTCTGCAGAAAACGGCTGGAAAACCAGAGCAATACAACAAAAAATAATCCTACACTGCCAGTCCCATGTCCCCTTCTGACCATGTACCCAGGTGTCCAACCAGGGAGCTGGTCACCACGGAGCACCTCGGGCTCTCTCATCCCCAGTCCGGTCAACCCCCAAGTTCTACTGATCCTTTCTCCTGAGCAGCTCAAACCAAGCCCATGCCCCCACCTCGGCATGTGCCCCTCCCTGGTGGCCCTGACGGCACAGCTGCGTGTCAGCACTGGGACCAGCCACGCTTGTGGTCCCTGTGAGACCCTAAGTACCCCCAGCCACCAGCAGGGGGCAACACAGAGCCGCTGCTCCCTGGTCACTCCCAGGGATCAAGACTACACACCCAGGCGTGAAATCAGGAAGGGGGAGGAGAGTCAGGGTTCATCCAGAAATCTATGTCACCGGCACTGCAGCTGAGCACAAAACTCAGCTTCGCTCCCCGTCAACATTCAAACACAAACCCGAGGTCGCCTGGCGCCTGACACCTGCAGGAGCTGCCTTATAAGCTGGGGGACTGAGCCCCCCCTGTGGCCTCCGGCCTCCCGCCCCTGCTCTGGGCACGCCCGGGGCCTCCGCCTACCCGCTCAAGCTGCGCTCCTCGCCTGGGACCTTCAAGCCTTCCAGAAGCCTCCGCCCGCCTGCCTCCTGGCATCAGACAGCCTACAGCGTGCGGGTTTCAGGAGAGAAGCAGGTCCCGCCTCCGGGAGCCCAGGCTGGCAGGTCTGACGGCGCCTAATTTCCTGGGGAAGGCCGGCATTTTCCGGGACCCCGCCATTCCCTCCTTCAGCCAATCCACTCAGTTTCTGGAAATATCTTTTCCACCCCTCCATCTTCTCCTGTCCACCTCCATGGCCACTACTGGGGGCCAGGCCGCCACCATTTCCCCCCGGTGTCCAGCGCCTCCCACACCTCCCTGCTCCCAAGGCAGCCGTCCTTCAGCCCACAAAATAAAACCATGTCAACGTCCTGCTCCAAGCCCCGCCGGCTCCTGAGTGGACAGCAGCCTCCCCCTGTGCCCGAAGGGCCAGGGCGCCGTGGGCCCGTGACCACCCTCACGGAGGGCGGGCGGACGCCCGTCCACTCAGAGCACTGTCCCGCAGAGAGGACAGCGGCTCCCGCCCGACGGCTCGGCCTCAACAGACCCGGCGTGAGCGAGGCCAGGTCTGAAGGATGCTCCCATCACCGCAGAGTCCAAAGTCGGGCAAAACCATTGCGTGAAGGCAGGCCCCAGGGCTGTGGTCACCCGGGGGGTGGCGAAGGGGGCAGGGGCTGCTCTGTTTCCCCACCTGGGTGCTGGCTGCAGGGTGTGAAAGGCACTGAGGTTTCGCTCCAGGAGCGGCGCACCTCCACCGGGCGTGTTTAAGAACAACGAAGCCCGGGCCGGTGTGGCTCAGCGTCAAGAGCGTGGGCCTGTGCACCCAAGGGGCGAAGGTTTGATTCCCAGTCAAGAGCACATACCTGGGTCGCAGGCTCGCTCCCCGCCCCCAGTCAGGGTGTGACCGGCGGATGTGTCTCTCTCACATCGATGTTTTTCTCTCTCTCCCTCTCCCTCCCTCTCTTTCCCTCCCTCTCTCTCCCTCTCCCTCTCCCTCTCTCTCTCCCCCTGCCCCTTCTTTCCCTTCCACTGTCTCTGAAAAGCAATGGAAAAAAATGTCTTTGGGTGAGAAAAGTCCTAATAATAATAAATAAAAATCACCTTTGTATATGCAAACAAAACCTATTTAGTAGCTGATATAACAAAACAGGAGGCCCCATGTAGGATAGCCGAAAATAGAAACTCCCTAGGTAAAAATGGAACAAACCTTTCTGTGGCTCCCCACTCCTCAGAGGGACACCTCCTCCAGGCAGCCCTCCCGAGGCGCCCCACGCCAGGGCAGTGCCGCCCCTGAGTTCCCATGGCTGAGTGCACACAGGCCTGTCTCACGAAGCCACCACTGTCCTGTCACAGACCCTCGTCCACCGACAGAGCCTCAGTGTCCTGACCCCCAGCACCACCCAGCCATGTGGTACACGGTCAACAAATGTGAGCGGAAAGGTCCTTCTCCCCCTGCAGAGGCTCCGCGGCCCCCCCGTGCTTTCAGCATGTGACCTGAAGCTTAGGGCTTCTTTATTCCAGAACTTTCTAAAACCCTGAGCGATTTGCTGGGGGAAATTTAACCTGATACGGTCTGTGGAGGGCCACCTGGCAAAAGAGTTGACCAGATTACCAAGGCCCACTCCCTGCATCCAGGAGCCTAAGTGAGCCTCGGATTCATCCCACACAGAGAGGGCTAGGCCCCGGAGGCTGCTGTTTCTGCCGGTCACCAGAGGTCGCCCCTTAGCAGGCTCATCGGATTCAGTTCAACAGATGCGCATGCTGGGGCTCAGTGACACACCAACAAGGACAGTCACTATGGCGCTCTTTATGACCGAAAGGAATGGAGCATCCCAACGTCATAAATATCCATAAACAGCGGAGCAGCCGGAGACTGTTACGCTGCTGTAAAAAGTATGAGGTGCCTGGCCGGTGTGGCTCAGTGAGTGAGCATCGACCTGTGAACCAGGAGGTCAGGGTTCGATTCCCGGTCAGGGCACATGCCCAGGTTGCAGGCTCGATCCCCAGTCGGGGGCATGCGGGAGGCAGCTGATTGATGACTCTCTCACCGTTGATGTTCCTATCTTTCTCCCTCTCCCTTCCTCTCTCTGAAATCAATAAAAAACATTTTTTTAAAAAAAAAAAAAAAGAAAGGAAATCATCAATGCACCGACGTGGAAAGGTGTCCCGGCTACGTCGCTAAGAGTACGAACGCAAACTGCGGAACAGGACAGCATCCTTCGTGTGTTAAAGCCGGAGGAAAGCGGTGGGAACATACACTTACCAATATCAACTACAGCTGGGCACGTGTGCACGTGCGTGTGTGCACTGCACACATAGATATTTGCATATGTACCTGTTCACACACACTCGCTGTTCGTGCATAAAGTAACCGGATGAACACGAGAACCCGGTACAAGTGCCAGGTGAAGGGCGGCTTGTGACCTTCACTCTCTGTGCCCGGTCAACGTATTATTACCCACCAAAGATAAAAAGCGATTCAAACAGAGAACAGAAAGGAGCCAGCCCACTCGTGGGCCGCAGGGGCACTCACCAGGGCGCATAGGAGGCCGCGATGAAGAAGTAGATGACCATGCGGTCGCACATGTGCAGACAGTGCTCCACCATCCTGGGGCAAAGAAGGCGGCGTTACCCCAGCTGGCCTGGGACAGCTCTGTCCCGGGGGGGCCTGGACGGGGCTGGCCCTCCTCTACCCAGCCACCACCCCTCGGGCCGCAGTCTCCCCGTCTCTAAGTGACCAGAGCAGTAGTTTCAAACCAGGCTCCCCACCCCCTAGGGGTTGAATGGAGACGCCTGGGGGTCCCATGGAGGACCCTCCTCTCCTTTCCTCTCTATTTCTATTTTCCATACTGGACTTTTCAGAAGATTTCAAACGATGAAAAAAATTCTGTGGCTTAAAAAAAGTGCAAAAACTATTAAACTATGTGCCCCCTAGAGACCCACTGGATTCTGCCATTGTGGTTTCATGTCAGGGCTCTGGAGCCAAGAGGCCTGGGTTCGAATCCCAGCTCCAGCACTTAGGGACTATGACCTTGACCAAGGCCCCTCCCTGCTCTGGGCTCAGTCCCCTCTCTGTAAACAGGGCTGCTGGGAGGACCGAGTGAGTTGGAACCGAGCAGGGGCAGGACAGGACGTGCTCAGTAAATCCCCGCTGTTGGTGGAGCCTCCTGAGGCAAACTCTGAGCCCGGCCTTATCCCTCGGCCCCGGTGCCCCCGCCCCGCACAGCATGTGCCCCCTCCCACGGGCTGGGCAGCGGGTACCTGAGGTGGCTCTTCTTCCAGGAGACCGTGTGGAACACAGTGGACACCACAAAAAGCCCGCACAGGCCGAGGCCGTAGATCCACGCGGAAATGGCTTCCCAGTCATCGTCCGACAGGAAGTAGAGGTTGGAGCTGCCAAGGATGCTGGGGATGATCCAGAACTGGAAGCCGGGAGGGGACGGGGACAGGCGCAGGCCAGCCTCTGGCTAGGGCCCGGGGCGGTTCGGAGCCCTCCCTTTCCTCCAGAACCACGCCGGCCACGCAGGGAGTGTCCTAACCTGCGCTGTCCAGTTTGGGAGCCGCTAGACACGTGTGGCCGTAGAGCACTTAAAATGGGACTCGTGCCACTGAGAAAAGGGATTTTTAACTTTATTTCATTTTCACTGGTTTCAACATCAATGTCCACAGCCACACGAGGCCTGGGGCCACCCTGCTGGACGGCACAGCTCTAAGGCCGGGCTGAACATCCGGCCAGCGGGCCACATACGGCCGAGAAATCATTTGGTCCGGCGCTGCCAAGGCCTTACCCAAAAGCAGCTGTTCCAGACATCACGTTAGGGGCGAGTTCACTAAACGTCTGACCAGACAGAGCAGGCTAATTTTTAAGTGGATAATTTTGTATGGCCCGTGAGCGATGTTATAAACATCCAAATGGCCCTTGGCAGAAAAAAGGTTCCCCACCCCTGCCCTGGGGACACAGCTGAGACCCACTGCTTCAAGGAGCAGCTCCGGCCACTGCCCTACGCCTGGCGCCCCGGGTACCCCGTCCCGAGGTCGCCAGGCACGCCGTGTGCCTCAGGCCTCTGTGCTGTCACACGTGGGGTCCCCTGGGAGACAGCGTCCCGTTGCCGTGTCTACCAGGAGAAACTCTCCCTCTTCAAGCCTTGGTTTATCCGTCACCTCCCGGGAGAAGTCTGAGCCGTCCCGGGGCAGAGAGGCAGGTCCAGAGCCGCCGCGCGCTCCCCCAAGGGCCACGGCGGGTTTGGGGAGCTGGCCTGAGGGGCCGTCGAGGTGGGACAGACACGGAATCTCTCCAAGGGCCAAGGGGCTGCCCACCCCCCCAGGAATCTCTCCAAGGGCCAAGGGGCTGCCCACCCCCCCAGACCTGGAAGCGTCCCCCTCAGCTCTCCGCCCCCAGGAGTGGACTCACAGCGTGGGTGGCACAGTTGGCAGCATGTTCATACTCCGTAGGCTGGTACCTCTTGTGGGCGGGGACCCGGTGGTTCATGAACCTGGAAGGAGAGGCACCTTCCTGGGAGCTGGGCCAGGACTCTGCCCCTGGGGGTGGGAAGAGAGGGCCTCCGCCTCCCCGCCCCTCTTACTCTCTCTATTACCTTTTGACCTATCCAATCTTTTGTGCCCAATCCCGTGTGGTTACAGAACTTGGCTAAACACTGGGGCACCGCATTCCCATTTCCTACTCTCTTCCTTTACTGTAGCTGACACACAGTACAGCTCCCTAGGGCACAGCATGACGAATTTTTACATCCGCACACGTGGCCCGCACCCAGGAAGAGCCAGCGCTCATTCCCCATCCCTCAGAAGGTGCCTTCCACCCCTCCCCAGGGGGTACCTTCCCCCAAGGAAACCACCCTCCCCCTTGTGACCCTAGATTGGAGGTTCTCGAGCTTCCTATCAGTGGGAACTGAAACACCAAACCCTTTTTTCCCCCGGAGATCCCAGTCATTACTATGAAGACCCACAAAAATGAGAAATGAGTGCATGGCTCAGAACAAAGGGCTCGATGCAGCACAGTGCACAGAGCATTTATCGAGCACCTAGTGTATGCTGAGCCCACCCCAGTACAGCGCACAGAGCATTTATCAAGCACCTAGTGTATGCTGAGCCCACCCCAGTACAGCGCACAGAACATTTATCGAGCACCTAGTGTATGCTGGGCCCACCCCAGTACAGTGCACAGAGCATTTATCGAGCACCTAGTGTATGCTGGGCCCACCCCAGTACAGCGCACAGAGCATTTATCGAGCACCTAGTGTATGCTGGGTCCACCCCAGTACAGTGCACAGAGCATTTGTTGAGCACCTAGTGTATACTGGGCCCACCCCAGTACAGCGCACAGAGCATTTATCGAGCACCTAGTGTATGCTGGGCCCACCCCAGTACAGCCCACAGAGCATTTATTGAGCACCTAGTGTATGCTGGGCCCACCCCAGTACAGCCCACAGAGCATTTATTGAGCACCTAATGTACGCTGGTGCTGTGCCAGTACAGTTGACTGAGTTTGTTGAGCATGTTCTGTGTCCTCCCAGGGAACTTTGCTGAGCACCTGCCATGTGCTGGGTGGCGGTGGGTGCTCTCAGAGCTCAGAGGAAGGGCAGACGGAGGTGCTCGTTCTCCCACAGGGTCCGAGCACCACGCAGGGCAGATTAAACGCTGGGCTTGTGGTCCTAGAGAAGGCAGGGGACCCCGCGCTGGAAGTGGGGAGCCCATGCAAGCACAGCCTCCCCAGGAGACCAAAACCACCAGCTGTCAGCCCACCTTCTTCGCGGTGGCCCAGGAGGAAGCGGTCGGAGGCCACCCTGGCTTATTAAATTACACGTGTTGACAACAAAACCAGTGTTGCGCGCCGGATTGAGTCCTCTGAAATTCCCACGCCGGCGTCTGAAAGCCAGAGCCCGAGAGTGTGACCCTAAGTGGACGCAGAGCTATGGCAGGTGTAATTCGCGAAGATGAGGTCTCACTGCAGGGGGCGGGCCACGATCCAGTAGGACTGGGGTCCTTGTAAGGGGATGGGAGACGCAGCGCAGAGGCCACGTGGCGACAGACGCAGCGTTTGGGGCGATTTGTCCACAAGCCAAGGGTGGTCGGCAGCCACCAGAAGCTGGGAGACGGGCCTGGAGCAGATGCTCCCTCTGAGGCTCAGCTGCACCTTGATCTTCCGGCCTCCAGAACGGGGAGAGAATAAATTCCTGTTGTTCTGGCCACTGAGTGTGTGCGGCCACTTGTTACCGCAGCCCTAGAGACGCTGATACAGGCACACCCAGTGTTAATTTTGATAGATTCTGCTCCAAAGCCCCCAAGGGACTGTGCCGACTGATACCTGCTTGTGGGCGGGGCTAGGACGGAGCTAAGACCTTTCTCCAAGGTGGGAGCGGGTCTCACCCATTACCAGGTGAGGCCTGGCTGTCCTCTCTCCTTCGGGCCCTTTAACAAACACCATAAACGCCACCCACCCTGCCAGCCACATGGGTTCGAGGGTGATGTCAGGGTTGCTGTGGCGACCCAGGATGGGCAGTTATTCATTTATTTCTGGGCTCCACAAAACTTTCCTTGTGTGTCCATCCCCCCCCCACACACACACACACACTCCATGTGGTGGCAGCTATTGAATGTCCAGAAGTAACAAAGCAGGCGAGAGAAAGCCAGGCCGGGAGACCGGGCCCGGGGCCGGGGCACATGCCCAAGAAATCCAGTTCCCACAATCTGCAAGAACCAAGCACTTCTCCTTAACTCCCTGAGGCCTGATTTCTTTCTTCATGCACCTCTACACAGGCGTTTTAAGAGGACAGTGAATTAATTTATGCTTTTATTTACCTTCTAATTTACATACAGCAAAATTTCCTTTTTTTTGCTATGGTTTCATGAGTTTTGCAAATGGAGTGAGT